GTCTGCTGTTTCGCTGTTCAATATTGCCGCTAGCTCGGTCCACAATTTAGTGGACAAAATATGCCCTTCTTTGCCTCGGACCCGTCCCAGTGCCAACATTCTATGTTTCTCCATAAAATCTACCAAAAGTTCTAGCTGTCTTACAGAAACTTGCTTCATTTTAATTTTATTTAAAATTTTCAAATTTTGCCGGTGATAGACAGTTATTTGACAAGTAGGTAATGCAGAGACAAATTATAGACTTTCCTTTTTAAACCGTGGTTTAGTGGTGAAATTATATTTTATTCAACAATTTACATTAAATGTTTATTAATATTGTTTTTAATTCCATTTATTTTATTGTTATGATGTAAATCAGATTTTTTAAAACTTAAATCTGTATTTTAATATTCTGGTAGAATACATAATTGTTTAACTGGCAATGAAACGTTGATGAATCGTTTAGTTGTCGTTTAGTTTCGAGTCAGTTTAATTGTCGTCCTATCCAACTCCGATTATAGAACACGTGAATACTGATTTCGGATAGGACTTCGATCGAACTATGATCGAGCGACTATAAAACTTCAACTGTTTGATTTTACGTGAATCAGGCTACAGATGAATCTGTTATGGAGTTATTTCGTTGTTCGTTTGCGTTTGGTAGTAAATATTATTTCTACTAGATATGCTTACAGGTATCAAGTCAAAATTAACATTAAATGAAACTGTAATCTTAGAGTTGAGAAGGAAAGAAACTTCCAAGTTATTAAAATAATTAATACGGTATAATTATTGAGGTAAACGAGCAGACAGGTCACCTGATGGTAAGCGATCAGCGCCGCCTATGGACACACGGAACACCACAGGAGTCACAGGTGCGATGCCGGCCTTTTAAATAGGAATACGCTCTTTTCTTGAAGGTTTAAAGGTCGTATCGGTTCGGAAATATTGCCGACGACAGATCATTCCACAGTTTTGCTGTGTGAGGTAGAAAACTAAGTGAGAAGCGCAGTAGAAAAATTATAATGGCTATAAATATTATCAAACATTGATGTTACCTTAGTTACCATATTGTCTCGCTCATGCATGATAAAGTCAAACCACCCAATTGTGCTGTGTGTGATGTTGTAGAGGATGTGAGTGTCGACGGATTGAGTCTCAGAGGTATCAGGTCTTTAGTTTTAAGAGCTCTAATGTTGGTTCTCTTCACAGTGTTTTAGCGTCACCATTGTCAGCCGAGACTAGAAAATTGTATCGTTTAATTATTTTATGCTTATGCTTTTTTTTAAAGGGGGGTAAAATCATCGAATGACTGCTCCCACCTGGGTGAGGCGGCAGGGAGTGTCAGACTCTTACTGACTAAAAACCACCCCGTTCCTTCTCCTGCACGTCGAGCCGGAGCCCCGGTAACCCGTTAGGTTCTCCGCGACTCCGAATTGCTATCAGCCCTGTTGGGCCCCAACCGTGGTGGTCTGATGGCTCTTTGAGGCTCGTACGCTATGTTTAAGTTTAAAGGCTAGTTAAAGCTATAAAGAGTTTAGCTGCTTTATTTTCGTATGGACGTTGATATTTTAGGGTGGTCGTTTTTCTCTAAGAACAAAAGCCCTAGTTATAAAATAAAGAGTATAAAAAATGATTGCCTTCAGAAGCTACTCATGTAAACTTACGTGCTATTTTTTCCCGTTAATAGAAATTAATATTATTTTTCTAAACATTTCATCGTCATACAAATCCATAAATGTAAACTATGGCGTAGTACCTGATATACATTGTGTAGCTATGAGCTACGACGTAGCACCTACGGCGTAGTAGAAGCTGCTACGCTAAAGATTTCAATGAATGGCTTACCTATATTCACTTCTGCCAGCATAATTTCTGATAATGAAATTACTTGCTTTATTTGTTTAATATCTCATAGTTACTAGAAATATAGGATATTTACTTAACTTGGGAATGGAACCCAGTGTCTTGTCATTGGTGTTGTTTTTTTTTCTTTTTAAATATTTAATTGATCGACCTGTCTCACCTATGGAAATTAATTTGCTTATGAACAAACTTTAATACTCGGAACGGGAGTAGGTGTTAGCGTTGTGTTCCACGCGCGCCACTCGCCAAGGGAAATCGCAGCCTCTAAGGGCTGCTACGCGGTGGGACCTGCCGCAATGTAGCGGTAGGTCGAGGCCTGCCGGGTGCGGTGAATCTGCAAGGGCATCCCGGGTCACGGCCATAGGCAGAGGAGGAACACCGCAGTGGTGTTAGCCAGTTAGAGTGGGAAGTCCAAAACGTTATAAAAATACACTCGGAATTTGAAGGTTATAAAATTAAAAATGCTTTTTAACATATACGCTTTAATTCAATTTTATGCTGATTACACAAATGAGCTTTATGTAAGTACGTAATATCAAAGTCACATTTTTTGAATTACAGAACAATTTACAACCTTATATCTTTATAGATTGGGCTTAATTTACAATGATCGCTGAACATGAAGTTATCGTAATCTGAAACGCGGTTTCGCAAACTTGTTCGTTTTCAAAAATAAAATTAAAATTCAGGAGTTTTAATGATATTTTAAATTTGTTTAATGATTCAATAATTATTTTTGAGAAACAAGTTGGCGAAACCTTAATTATTATTATTAATAATACTTTTATTTAACATTTATTAAATAATGAGAAAATATTTTTAAAGATGGGATCAATTGTCACAATTTTTTGTAACAAAAACAGAAATTAATACTATTATTTTTTTTAAAAATAATAACATAAACAAGATAATGTTTAATATAATTACCACATCTTTTTTCATAATTATTAAACTGACAATTATTACCGAAATTTTAACATTGACTTGTTTAATTAATTAATTATTTATTTTAATTAATCTTATCATATTGACAATATGTTTTGAACATTCGATTAGCACTTACCGCTAAATGACAAGCTCATATTTTATAAATAAATTAAGAAAAAGAGCAACAATAGATTGCAACGAAATTATAAATTTAAATAATTATTAAGAGGCCTTTCTTTAAAAAGATGAATTTTTAATGTAAACAAAATAATTATTAATCATGGATTTTCGCGAATATTAAATTAACAGAAAAAACGACTATTTTGTCAATAAAAATTAATGATAAATAATGCACTTATCGCTAGAAATTTTCGTTTTATATTCATTAAATACTAAGTTTGGCAATATTTAAGTGATATTTTATTCTCAAAATGGCATAAAAGTATAAGGCACGGTTTTAATATTTCTCTAAATTTACTTAAATATAGAAGGACGTAAAACCAGCTAATTTTATTATCTAAGTGGTTAGTTAGTCGCGAAAAAAAGTCCTGCTTTGGCACTTTTTCAGTTCAAATATCATTTTTAATTAAAAAAAATAACAAAAAAAAAGGTTTTCGTTTCCTCCATTGATATGTTTTTAATAATTGGAATTCTAATTTTACAGGAGAACAAAGGAAATAAAAGGAACAAAAAATAAAACAAAATAAATAATTATTAGGTTTTTTATTTTCGAAATGTAACAATAGACTTTTTTGTAAATATAAAATCGTATTTCGTGATTGGATGGACTTTCGAACTTGAAGAAATAATGTAAAAATAAAATATGACAGTCAGTCAATATTTTAACGAAATTATCGCAATTGTTACAAAATCGATTTAAAAGAAAATAATAATAGAAAATAATTAAGTATCTTAATAACTTAAAGAATAAAATTAATAAAACTTTGGCATGTGAACATTATGACCGATTAAATTTTGGGGTTGAAACGCTATTAATATAAAAAATACAATTAGGTACAATATATTATTTACATAGAATCAAGATGGACATAAATTAAAATTAATTGAACTTATGTTTATTGTCAGTTCGCGATTTGAGTATTATTATTTTCTTATTTACATCGTAAAAATGCAGAGAAAAAGTAACTTACGAGTAAAAATTTACAAAATAATAATAAAAACCGTAAATATGTATACAGTTATACCTTTTGTAAAAAATTACAATTTACAGATTATAAATGACAGTCGTTTAATATTTGACACAGTACGTAATGGGGTCTTTTATTATAGTTTTATATTAAATTGAAAAAAAAAATAAGACATTTAAATGAAAATGTAAACGTAGAAATTTACAAAATATCTCGAAATCAACGAGAACAAATAGTCAGGAACAACTTTATAAGTTTCGAAAACCATTTCTAACTATGAAAATGTGTTTAAACATTTTCTAGAGAACAATTTTAATTAAAAACGACGACAGGATGAAATTCAAAATTTTTCCCGAATTAATAATTTCATGTTTTATTCAAAAATCGTATTTTTATAACAATCATAATTATCTTAAAAACTTAATTACGAGAGATCCTTTTATGGAATCAGTAAAAATTTTGGATTCGCATACCAGTAGTTTGTTCGACAATTTGTAGATAATTCTAAGTCATTAAACTTTGATATTGAAACAACCCATTTCATAACTTTATCGTATCGAACCTGACACAAACACTCAAGAACACGAATCGATTCTTAATTACAATTATACTAACACTTAAGTCATTTTTACAATCCAGCGAAGTCCACCACTGCACTAGGTTGATTCATCAAATTGTCAAACAATACTAGATCCAGCCTTTAAAGAAAATTTAACGAATAAAATCGTACATTTAACCCTAAATGTATTATTATCTAAAATGATTTTACAATTGGACATTGAAAAAATCATATTTTTTGTTCGCTTATGTCATTTGGACGTATTACCTATTTATTTTGATAAGTCAGTCGAACATTTTAATACAACCCGGGCAGCCCAAATACTAATTTAGGCAACATTGTCATATCTAGCTACGCGATGGACACTAATCGTTTGAAAGTTCGTTCTTGTATCACATTCAATTATTTTAAATCTATCTACAATTTTTATCTAGTCCATTTATTTACACTTCACTTCAAAGTTTTACACTCATAGCCGACTTTTAGTTTGTCACTTTGTAATTCAAGTTTTTTACTTTACACTTTTTAGTTTTAATTTGTCACTTTAGACCACGTGGGTTTCACTTCTTTTGTTAAATGATTCGTCGATGGTGACGTTTTGTTTCTTGTTTTCTTTTTTAATGGTCCCGTACTGAGGGACGTCGGAGGTTAAATTCTGTACTGTTAATATCTGATTGGAGTTTTGCGGCGTGCTCGAGGATATGGGGCTACCGTACTGGTTGCCATATTTGTGGCGTGATGGGTCCTTTAAAATCGACTGGGGCTGCTTCGGTGCTGGAGTCTGGACTAAGTGCTGAAACAAAAAAAGTTTATAAGAAAATGTCCAATAAAAAATCAAATCTGAATAAATACCTAAATTCCCTTCTTTGTAGCTCTATGAACTAAGTTAAATTAGGTACCTATTTGTGGAAAATTATGAAAACCTATTTTTCGTCGACCATTTAAATTCCTGCTAACGACTACCCCCGCGCCTACCTCATTAGTAGCCTTAAAATATAAAATTTACAAATAAATAGTCCGTTTCAATTAAGCCCGATAGAAATTGAATCACGTATTTTCTTACGGCATTTACACAATAACGTTTTAGGCGTAAAATGACAAAGTTTTCGACAAAAAGTTGTGAGATTTTGGGAACCATTGAAAACTTTACTGAGGATTGGAATTTCAAAGCTTTGCAGTGGGTGGGGGAAATTTGTTGTTAATTAATCTTAAATTATGAGATTGTTCATGCCTAACTGGTTACGTAAGAGCATTATAAGCGTTCAGAATTACCCTCTACAACATCAAAGAATGTCACTGGGTTTGTTCGTGGTATGTCTTGCTCAAGAGTTTTAAGAAATATTGCTGTGGATTTCAAATACTGATGTCAACTTTTAATTCATTTTATGTTGTAGTGCATATTCGTACATGTTTAAAACTCGTTATCTTCTGTAAAAAGTCGGTATTTTTTTCTTTACCAACTGAATAACTGAACCAAAGGTATTTTTGAGTCATTACAACATTCTCACATATATATACAACAGGTAAAGTATTGACGATTCAAAAGTGCCCTAATTAAGGATTAATTGCATCAAATGTTTTGACATTGACTACTTTACACTTATCTATATGTTTATTGATGTCTATTATAAACCTTTCTTTTATAAAGTTAAAGGATGGTTATAAAATAAATCTTTACAAAAATCTCGTATTTTTAAGGCATACCTACTTAATATACACATAGTTTATATTACAGTAAGTAAACAGCACAATGGTACTTTATACAATACGGTACTAGGCAGGGGAGCAATCTGTCACAATTTGTCTACATATTTAGGTCGGGAACACAAGATACCACTATTTGTTACCATTTGTTGGCAAGATCTATGGGGTAAGACACTCTTTTGTTGAAAGTGGGTTTCAGGAAGACATACACATAAAACGGCATAATACAATGTTTCTCAAATAGAAAAAATGCATGAAAAGAGGTTTTAGAATGGAATAAATCCATTATGAAATGTTTTAATATTTCATTTGGTATATTTGTTATTACATTGGGATTTATGTTCAAATGTATTCAAACGCCACTCAATTTAGTCATTACGATAGTTCTGCCGATAGCTCTGTCATTACAAATTCTTTATAAAATGTGAAAACAGAAATGGTACGATATTTTCGTATAACGTTAAGTGTTGGAGAGCCATGCTTCGGCACGAATGGGCCGGCTCGACCGAAGTAATACCATGGCCTCACGAAAACCGACGTGAAGCAACGCTTGCGTTGTGTTTCGTCGTGTGAGTGAGGTTACCGGAGGCCCTAGACTCCTTACTCTCCCGAATCCCCGTATCTTCCAAAATCCTCAAATTCCCACTTTCTAAAAGGCCGGTAACGCACTTGTAACGCCTTGGTGTTTCGGGTGTCCATGGGCAGCGCCGATTGCTTACCATCAGGTGATCCGTCTGCTCGTTTACCGGCTTATGCTATATATAACTTATAATTAAGTAGGTTTATAGCATTCAGACGTTAATGAGATAAAAGTATATTTCCAATAGGTAGGTTACAATTTCAGTAATAATTAAAATAAGTTAATAAAATTTTAGAATATCTAAACTGTTAAACCTCCACCTGACTTCTAAATTAGTTTAGATTAACTCGAAACTAAGTTAGAAAAGATTAATTTTAACTCGACTCACATACGTGAAGGTTGGTCTTATTTCTGTAAATATAATTAAAACGTTGTTCTCACCTGTGTACAATTACCGGGATGCAGTACAGTGACGTCAGGCGGTGGGACGGCGGCCATCTTGTCCATGCGCTGCCGCCGTAGCGTGCCGCCGGCCGACTGTCGATCTAAAGGTAGAATTCTTTACTGTTTAATGTATCTGAGCTCTTTTACAACTAATTGGAATTAATTATGGAGAATCATGAAAGTGTATTGTTGTAGAAACAGACTAAGTTTTTTAAATTCCTCTGAAGATTTTCCCAGGAGTTGTCGATAGAAGTTCACATGCAAATTAGAAGCCATAAATTTGTCAATCACTCAAATGACTCTGTATCGGAATCGGACCTAATACATTTTTCACTGCAACCAGTTGCCTAAGTAAAAAAACACCCGATGGCTTTGTCATATATGGAGAGAATGGTTATATTACGACTTTTAGCCTGTTTTCTATTTGTCATATTAACCTGCCTTTTCGTTTTAATTTTTGATACTTGGCTATATGACCCTTATTTCTACCACCACCTCCCATTAAAAGCAAACAACGAAACTACAGCGTAATGTATAATGAGTACACATGCAGTACACAGAAGATGGCTCGAGTACGTACCGTCGAGGGCGTAGCTGTGTGCGGGCGGGCTGGCGGCGTGCGGCGGGGAGCCGTGCGGGAGGCCGCCGTGGGGGAGGCCGCCGTGCGTGTGTCCGGCCAGTGTGTGTCCGGGCTGCAGGCCGCCGTTCATGAGGTGCTGCTTCGGCAGCGGCGGCCCGCCGTACTGCTGCGGGGGGGTCGGAGTACGGCCCTGTTGCTGGAGGGGAAAGGGCTATTAGAAGGCGTAGGTGGAGATTAAAATATTGTCATTTCATTTTGCTCGTGATTACTGAGCTCATGATTTATTAAACTGAGAAAATTGTAGTTATTGTTGTCTTCAATGGTTCATTGTTAAATTCATCACTAATGATTGCTGATCAAGGGATTTAGGGTTCAAATTGTAATGGGATATGGATAAGTTTATAATGTTTTTTGACTTTAAAAGTTTTCTGTAAAAGCACGAGGTTAAGAATTTGTAGTGTACACGGAACCCTATTAAACAGGACTTATGACATAAAATAGAATAATATAACATAGCTAACTGAAACAAGTTTTCGTTAGTTACTATAAAGTTGATATTGAAGCGGCTAACCTAACAATACAACCAAAACCAACATAGTGTACACTGTCTACACTCTTTTTTTTAAGGTGAACAATAGAATTCTTTAACTAATTACTTAAATCCTTACCTGCTGTAAATACTCCCCAATCAGCGGCGGGTAGGACAAGTATCGGTCGGACGCCATGTTGTAATATGAGCCGTCCAGCGGCGGCATAGGACTGGGAGCAGGCACGTAGTTCTGTTTGCCTGGTACCAATAAATAGATAATGTTAGGAAAATATTGTAGGAATACAATATAGCAGTTGTAGTTTAATAGAGATTTCTTTTAAGGTATTAATTATGCAGTAATAATGTACCTACTGTTTCTGTTTTCCTGGTACTAATTAATAGATATTTTTGATTGAAAACGGTGTATTTTACGTAGTAGGTCTTATAGAGTAAAACAAATTAAGTAAGAACTTGAGAAATGGGTTTTTTTTGCAAATTTTTAAGAATGAGAGGTCCATTCTGACTTTACATTATTCATTCCGTACCTGTACTCCTACCCAGCGTACTATGTCCAGTGATGTCCTTATGTCTGTGAGGGTGTGGCAGTGTCCTGGCGTGGTCTCCATCATACACCGCGTAGTTAGGAGGAGGATAGTCCAGTGGTGGTGGGATCACCAGGCCCTGGTCATCCATTAGGAAGGCGTCTGTTGTCTAGAGGAAAGAAATCAGATGATAGATTTTTCAAACATTATATAGTCACACGTCGTATACAGACGTCGTTACTTCATCTTATAGAGCGGCCATCTTAAAAATACGTCTAACAGTCTAACAACGAACAAGTCTAAGCTAAGATGGTTCTAGGTATTGTACTCTGGAGCGTAGATACAAATAGTTAGTAGAAAAATATAAAAACAATTCGGTTTCCTTCAACAAATAAAAATGAAAAAAGATGGAATGCTTACCTGACTCAACATATGTCTAGTCGGCATGGACGGGACCTCTGGTATCGGCGGAGGCTGTCTATCATCAGTGCCCTCATCTTGGGAGTATGTCTCTGATTTCTCAGATACAGAGCTCAAGGTCTCTCCCGTCATCGTATCATTGTATGACGATGGAGCATACATCTCGATTGTTGCTGATTTTGAAGCCTGACCCGCTTGTTCTGTTGGGGTTAATAGAGATGATTTTAGAGATATAGTTGTGTGATTTGAGATTTGAGACTTTGATATATGAGAACAGATCTCCGTTTTCACCAACGTCTCGTAAATTTTAAGGAACCCCAAAGCTCAGATAAGTGACACTTATAGTGAATGTGTTAGTATAAGGAGTTAGTTAAGGTATTCTCATAGACTGCCTCATTGGCCGAGTGGTTGCAAGTGCGACTGCCGGAAGAGTGGTCTCGGGTCGGGCAAAGTATTACTGGTTTTTTTATGTGAGTGGTAGCACGGATTCTGGAATTGTGCCCGGTATATGGCTATGGGATTCATAACAATAGTGTATATAGTGAAGAGTGGGTGCTACATTGCATAGTGGCACAAAGTGCCCCAATGTGCAGATCTGCCTACACCTTCGGGGACAAAAAGGTGTGATGTTATGTTATGTTAAGGTATTTCATAACGCTAAGTAACTCTTAGTTAAGATGTGGTTAACTAAACCACCACTACGTGGTTGGTGAAAACGGCTAAGAGTATTCATTTTTGTTAAGTCTAGGTCGATGTTATAGATAAAAAATATATTTCACAAAATTCATACACACTTACAAATATGTAAGTCTCATACAATAACAAATCGGTATAGAACTGTAATTAGCACTGTTAAATTGTAATCAATGTTACGTGAATGTAATTTCATTACATCATCAGCACAAAATGGAAGAAAAATACGTTACAATCATATGAGTAATTAAAGAAAATGAGTACCGTTGAGGCTTCGAATTTGAGTATCATTTGTGTGTATTGTACTGTATTGTATTATTGTATTGTAGAATGGGTGAATGTTGTTTTATTCTTTACTGATTGAAATGGAGTTTGTATTTATCTATCTCTCATTCTTTTCTTTTTATTTATGTTATTCTCTGAATAAATGATTATTATCAATTTGACTATAATTTAAGAGTAACAACGATGTTAAAATTAGGTCTTGAATTAAATACTATTAATTTATAAACCGCACAGATTTACATACCCACTAAGAAATATGTCTAAAGGCGGACTTAGCGTTTTAACTCGTCGAGCACCGTCATTATAGACACAATTAAAGAACAATAGGTTGCGGTCACCGGTGACCGCTTGGTGTTTGACAGTTTAAAGAGTAAATCTTTAAAAAGGTTAAATAAGAATAAGAATAATCTTTGTATTCCTCATACAATAATTAGTATCTTAATGTAATTAAACAAACTCCTGCTCTTAAACATAATCACTCCTAAGAGTGGAATATTTTGAAGAATTCAAGTTACTTGCGCAGTCATTAATTTTAAACAAGGGTTATATTCTAACAAGGTTGAACTAATTAACTGAAATAAGCGGGATTTTGTTCAAAATGTCATGTTATTGTGTTCCTACGGCGTTATAGAGTTTTGCTCTTCTGGGAATTGTAAGAAAGAAGCTTGTTAGGAAAGTATGTTTATTGTTACGTCATAGGTCATGTGTCGACCTTAACCTCTTTTATATATTTTGGTATAAAAAAAAAATATTTCTACGCCTTTTATCTCCGAAGGGGTAGGCAGAGGTGCACATTACTTTTTTTTTATGGAGTATATAAGCCGGTAAACGAGCAGACGGATCACCTGATGGTAAGCAATCGGCGTCGCCCATGGACACCTAGAACACCAGAGGCGTTACAAGTGCGTCACCGGCTTTTTGGGGATTAGGAGTTTGAGGATCGTTGGGGATTCAGGGATTGGGGAGATTGGGGAAGGGGAAGGTAATTGGGCCTCCGGTAACCTCACTCACACGACGAAACACAACGCAAGCGTTGCTTCACGTCGGTTTTCTGTGAGGCCGTGGTATCACTCCGGTCGAGCCGGCCCATTCGTGCCGAAGCATGGCTCTCCCACACTTAAAACCCACACTTACGGTATTTAATGCCACTGTATAATGTAATACCTACTTTTCACTATTTGTGTCATGAATCCCATTTAATAGAGGGTGAGCTTATTGCCATATACCGGTCACGAATCCAGACTCCGTGCTACTACAGAGATTTTTTTTAAAAACCTCTGTAGTACTTTGCCCGGCCTCGGCCAACGAGGCAGTCATTTAATTTTATTTCTTTAAACGTATGAACTTGATATTCCAAGAAAGAGTAGGAAGATATACTATGTTGTTAATATTCGTCTGTTTCGTTATACAGAAAAAAACTACTGCTGTACATGTATATGATATTTTGAAATATATTTGATCTGGGAGTCGAACCCAGACTTGCATGGTGCATGGTCCTTTAAATACAATTTATCTGAAGTTCAACTAAGATAAAGCTAATTAATAAGAATATGTAATAAATAAGTTATAAAAAACTACTACACAAACAGACAACATCAACAAGGAAAAGAAGCAAAAATAAAAAAAAACAAAATAAAAACTCACCTTTAAGACGTCTAGATCGTCTTTTCAATACAAAACAAGCAACTAAAGCAGCATTGATCATGACTAGTATAACTCCAGTGATAGACACGTAAATGACTACAGATTTTGACACATCAGCAGTTTCGACAAATTCTGTAGACACAACATTGAGCTCGCCTACTTCTGAAGAGGCTTTAAAAGAAGAAAAACAAAAAAAAAATTAGCAAAAGAAAAAAACAAATGAATGCCTAGGTGAACAAGATGATTGGTCTAGTGTCAGAGAAAAATAATTCTCTCAAGTACTATTATTTGTAGTTGCTTTATTAGTTTAGCTTTCTTTGTTTTGTATCATTAATTTCTTTCGCTATTTCAAGTCGCAACGTCATCGTCCTTTATTTGAAGCGTTCAAACACAAAGTCACATTTTTCCTTGTGATATTTTGAGTGACTTTGTTTATTTTGTCTTCATCGTTTATTGTGTAACTACCATCAATTGTAGCTGAAAATTCTCGGTAACACAATTCATGTACGAGTTAGTATTTCAGTGAACTTTCCACGTCTCGCCCTTGACTGTAATGTAATTTTCACGGTCGCTCTTTGTAACTGAAAGCTTCAAGCTTTCATCTCAGTAGATATGCTTTTAACAGTAACTATTGAAGTATCTCGCTTCACATTTTTTTGTTTAAAACATTTTAAAGAGAAATAGGAATTGCTTTTAGTAAAATTTAAAATGAGAACTGTTATATTATTACGGTTGAGTGTATGAAATGTAATAAACGATTATAAAATTTATAGAATAATAAATGAATGGAACAAAAAATAAATCTCTACTGACACACAATCAAACATCTAGATACATAAAAGAAAAATCTTAAAGACTAACATTAAATAAGGTTTTAAAGTTAAATCCAAACCTCGGATCCTTTTATTGGTCCTTTTATGAAGACAGAATCCGATCAGCAATACGTTTAGAAGTATTAATGCTGTTCCAACAATTGTACCAGTAATGATAAATACTCCTGGTACATTGTAATTATATTCTTCAGAAGAAGACTGTATTGATGATGGGATCATGTCTGAGCAGCGTGGAAATATTTTACAATTATTAATTTAGGTATGAATAGGATTGGACCCAAAATGATACCTTTAGGTACCCTTCGTTGTCTTGGTCATAACTATTAACAATTGTATCTCTTTGATAATTAAAGGTATCGAACCCTTTAATAAAGTCAAGGCATAACTTGAATTTACTACTACAACAATAATTTGAAATTTGATAGAAGACTAGAATGGTACAATAATTTAAAAGACGAATTGGAATGCGTAACGCATTGCTTGCTAACATCAAAAGATGTTCAGCTATGTTCGTTAGTAAAATCAAAATGTAATTTTATCTTTGATCTTAGACTGAAATATTCTTCTTATACTAAAAACTAATTAAATTGTATAAACTTACTCAGTGTTGTGACTTTAGTATCGTCTGGTCGGTATTTGCTTTGTCCAATTTTGTTGATTGCCATTACAGAGAACACGTAATCAGTATTGCGGTCAAGACCTCCAATAGTAAATGTAGTTGCATTTCTCGGTACCACATCTTCATATTTATAAGATTCTTCAAAGACTCTCCTGAAAATAAAAATAAAATGAAGATATGCTACCATTAATACAAAAAATTTAAAAGATTGTCTTTTATCTTAGCTGGAATGCTATTAGAAAGAATGAATAATGTAAGACCCATTTTACAATATTTTATTTTTTTTATTATTTTTTTTTTTTATTTATACATTTGGAAAACCAACAGCTATACAATTTGATTAAAAAGAATGTGGTATGCAACAAGAAGCCAATTACTGGTTTCCACGATTAGTAACAGAAAGTAGAAACATGCTAACACAGTACTAAAATTACTCATTAAACTCATTAAACCACAGGCAGTCTATAATGATGCACAAATTACTCCAATGATTAAGTACCATATAGGTACCCACTATGAATTAAAGAAATCAAGGTTCAGCTGCCTGCGTGCCACAGTAAGTTTTGTGTTAAATGGGTCGAATGAAAACTCTTTGCACAGTTTATTGAAATCATTGCTCGCTCGCACAATATACGAATTACTCCGATAGTTGGTTGAGGAAGTAGGTATCGATATCGGTACACTGAACCTAAATGACTTACGGGGAACATTAAAATGAAGTCTTTGCAGTATTTTAGGGCAGTCAATGTCATTAGATAGTATTTTTAACATGAATGAAAAATCCGCCAATCTACTATTATTGTTGTTATCATTTGATGCTATGAATATTTGATGAAGATTTTCTTTCTCATCAACTTGAACACAAGCCTTATTTAAACCTTAGAACTAATAGCTAGAAACATAATAATTATTTTATAGCACCTACCTATATCGTACTCTAAACCATGACGGCAGCCCGCCATCGAACCCAGGCACCCACTGCAGCGTAACAGTGTTGTGTGTCACGTTCGTCACAATCAATGATATTACTTGATCTGAAACAAATTAGGATTGTTGTAGACCAAGCAGTCAGGCTATATACAATAATAATAATAATACCGATACATTGAAGTCAACTGAAGAAGATATAGACAACTGTCTTGAATCCCACAACGAAATAAATTAGATGACATCATTAGTTTTCACGTCTTTCGATATTTTAATGCAGATTGAGTTTAGCCTTTACGGGTCAAAAAGACTGCACAACTAGGGGTATCTATCTTACCTGGGGCGCTAGTGATATCTAGCTTCACGGACGTGGTGGAAAATCCCAAATCGTTTCTGGCACCGCATTCATAGGACCCATAGTCTGAGGAGCTGACGTCATTGATGAGGAGCACTGAGGTGTAGGTTACAGGGTCCAGTTTGTGGAACTCCGCGAAATACTTGGTTGAGGTGTTGACTGGTAGCTTGGCACCGTTCTTGGACCACGTGAAGTTTGGTGCTGGAGCTGCTCGGCATCTGGGAGAGATGGTGGGAATGTAAACACGTTGTAGGAGATAAAAATTGGTGTAATAGCAGTTTCAAAATCTAGATGGTCTATCTCCGAAGGTATCCTCAAAAGATTCTTTTGAATCAAGCTACAGATACCCTAAAATTAAACTCTCTATACAAAAACATATCACTTACTTGCAAGTCAACCTCCCAACTTGGCCGACGTTAGAAGCAGATTTCATCAAGCTAGGAGAACTATCCAGCTCTGGTTTAAACTTCACCACTAGCATAACATCCTGCCTGGTTTCCCCTCCAATGCCATTATCCACCACACATTGGAAGTTGCCTACATCTTCTCTGGTCGCTTGTTTCACTACCAAAGTGCTTGTAAGGTTACGAGCGTCAAAAGTAACCTGGCTAGGGTTAATGTTGTAACCTTTGCGTTCCCAGCGTATGTTGTCTGCTGTTAACGGATTACCTGGAAAGAGAAAAATAGTGAGAAATGCAATTTTGGCATTGGGTAGATGGCGCCTCTGATGTCTTAAGTCCTATATGTCAAAAGATTGTTTACTTAGTAATGGAATTATTTTAAAACAGTCGATTGTTCTAGAGATCTTTGGAATTACAATTAAATTAGGTGTAGTCGTTTATTTTGTTATAGATAGGTTTCCACCTTCACGTTACTTAGAAGGCACGTCGTCGTTTATTTTAACAAAAACCTTTTTAGATTGTTATTGCGTTTACAAAAACTTACCATTAGCAGTACAAGACAGCATGACATCCTGATTGGGGCTGACTACTTCTTGTAGAGTTACAGACTTGATGCTTGCCGGATCTGTAAAAGAAATCCCAATTATATTCTCTATCCCTTACGCTTTTTATTAGCTTTTTGTTTTAAAATTACTCTCTGCGTATCATTGCATTTCTCTACTAATCACCAGTACTGTTATGAGTCCCATGTAATACATAAAATAAATCAATTGTAAACAATACTCCACGTCTATTTATTCGTCTAAAAAATAATTCCCTTGTTACCTACTACAAAACATTTTCTTTCAATAAGAATGTAATCTGACAACGTATTGAAGCATTCTGTCCGATATAATAATATCATCGATATGTAACTGCCAATATTTAATATGTTACCCATCAATTTGAGTGAATGGTTTACATCAGGCTAAAATAATAACTTTGCCTTTTAGCGTTGTTAAACACAAACTCATTATATTAAGTTTATTTTTGGGTTAACGTATCAAAAATAGTATATTTCTTGGTAGACTATAAATTGACTACAAATCAATTTGTACCCCCTATAAACGAAGACGATAATAGCTTCTATCAACGGCTTCGTCCGCCGTCTCATGAGATAGCTTTGTGTTTTTTGCGTTTTTAAATAAAACGTTGCCACACAGGATTTGCTCCAGCATCGTGGACAAGTTCACATAAACATAACAGTCAGACCCGAAACAAAAATTTGTGGATCACACAGAGAGTTGTTCCGAGCGGGAACCCGCTACACGTTGTGTGGTACCCAGTTGCCCAGCCAGGTGTTCCAAATTTCATTCCGATACCAGCAGATTTATTATGATTAAGTAGCAAATATATACACAAACTCACAAGCTTTACCATTTATAATAAGAGTAAGATGAAGCAACAAAAACAGAACCAAACTCTATAAAATTACTAACAATTTTCTGATGAAAAACGTAATATTAATTACCGTACCTATCGATCGAAGAATCAAGAACAACCCTTCAAAAACAAAATACATTAAATTTCCTGTTCCCTTAAACGAATTAACTATTGAAGAAATATAATTAAGTTGAGGGAGGCCCATTAGCTAAAGAGGTACCGAAAATACTTCAATTTGTAACTCTTGCAACTTTGATCGGTACATTAAGGACAATAGTTGATCAACGATTCTCTTTGCTAAGTTAGCAAGTTTAATGTACGAACATTAAGAGGCTGTAGTTCCTATAACTATAGCCTTAGGGCTATTATAGCTCTTATAGTCATAACTTAGGGACTATCTATAACTCTTCCTTTACTGAATGACTTGTGCCCGTTTTCACTAGCTTCTCCAAAATACCTAACCTATCAGTGACACCTAACCGTACAAGTAAGGAGGTAGTTGAAGTGCTCCCTCATCCTAAGTAACTCTAGGAGATAGGTGGTTGGTGAAAACGGGTATGAGAGACTGAGTGACTGGTAACGCGCAGCTGAAACTGTTGGATTTAAGAAGCAAAAACTTAGTATGTATATTTCGTGAGTAGTGTAGGGGGAGCTCTAAGAGACTAAAATGATGCTTTACATCATTAAATTAATATTCTTTGGAGAAATAAAATATCATTAAAACATAGTTTTTTAGAAATTATCAGTAAACAGTATACATTATGTCGGGCGATAATCCGACATAATGTATTATCGCCCGACATAATGTTCATTATAATTATAAGTACTGTTTAAACTTTGACACAGATATTTATCATGGTATCCTAGTGTATTTTTTTTTATTTAGCATCAATCATTTGCTCTAAACATTGACATAAATTTCTATTTCTTATTATTTATTAGCTGACCCGGCCTGAACCTTCGTATCGTCTACATTTATTTTCTCTCCTTTCTTCTTCTTCTTTCTTATAAACCTTCCCTGTACTTCCACGAATTTATATGTCAATACCAAAATTAGCCAAATCCGTTCAGCAGTTCTCAAATTTTAGCGAGATTAACGAACGGAAATTCATGTTTATTTATATCGATTAGGTGCTATGATAGTTTTATACGTATACTTACAATGAACAGACACACTGATGTTGGCGACGGCAGCTCCCTGCGAGTTGACTGCTTCACACGTGTAGACTCCAGCGTCATGTCGGGACAGCTTCGTCATGTTCAACATGCTGCCTTCTGATATTATTCGGTCATCTGTATGGGGCAAACATAATTAGTTAATTGAATACGTCCAGAAAAAAATATTTCACTAGACTACTAAACTTACTTTCTTAACTACTAAAGGAGCGATAGATGTAATTAAAATGGTATTTTTTATTTTTTGTGTGGGAGAGCCATAGATTCGGCATGAATGGGCCGGCTTGACCGGAATGATACCACGGCCTCACAGAAAACCAATGTGAAATAATTCTTGCGTGTAAGTGAGGTTACCCCCAGTCTCCCCAATCCCTGAATCCCCAACAACTCTCAAGTTCCCAATTCCCAAAAGGTCGGTAACGCACTAATAACGCCTCTGGGGTTCCAAGTGTCCATGGGCGGCGCCGATTGCTTACCATCACCTGATCCATCTGCTTGTTTACCGGCTAAAAAAACATCTATTTGATAATACCGCACATATAGCCAATATATTTCCGTCTATTGTTAGTTGCTGGGTAATTCAATAGCCCGCATTTGTACTGGGTAGACAAATAACTGTTTGTCCGTTTCCTAAACAGTTTTACCACTATGCTTTGTCTATTAATTTGACTATTCAAATCCGTTCATTTGTTTATTTATTTAGTTTATTATATTTACTAGCTATTGCCCTCGAATTCGTCCACGTAGAATATGAATGGACATAACTTTGTTTTTAAATTTTCAAGAATAAAATTAGCCTATGTTGCTCCTTAGTCCATCAGCTAACTGTCAATAAAAGTTCCGTCAAAATCGGTTCAGCCATTCCCGAGATTAGCCAGTATAGACAGACAGACAAAATTTGCAAACAATTTATTTTAGTATGTGTATTGTATGTATATTCATATACATGTAGTAAAAAGCGGTTACTTTAATATTACAAACAGACACTCCAATTTTATTTATATGACTGACTCTTTGTTTACTTGGTCTAGTTTCAAGCCATTCTTGAGGCTCATGTTCATGAGCAGCATTTCGTGTCAGTAGCAGTTTAACTCGTCGAGTACCGGTTTTGTAGACACAATTATAGAACAATAGGTTGCGGTCACCGGTGACCGCTTGGTGTTTGACAGTTTAAGTCGCCACGGCGCAGGTCGCCTCTAGCTTGGCTTGAAACTAGTCGATGTCCTCGTCAAATAATTACGTGAGTAAGCCGAAAACATAATAACCAATAATTTAATGTTTTAATAGATTTGAACTATCGTATGAATAGTTGATTTGATCCGAATGAACATTGTGATTATAGAACAAAGTTTTTGTTTCACTATCAATAGGTTAATGGAGCTTGATTACAGCTAAATACAATTAATTGTTTGCTGTAATTATTTGGTTTGTAAGCTTTTGTATGGTACTGTCATTAGTGGATGTTAAATAGCTGTTCACTGGTTTTTGTTAGAGGGACTTTGTTTTCTTCTATTATTTTTGACTCTGTAAGAGTGAGAAGACTTGCATAAGTATGCGTACTATTTAGAATTTATCTGGCTAACCAGAGAATCGATTACAGAACGTTTCATATATTTTTTTTGGGAACAAGGTGTGGTATTATCTAATTTTGGAAAATCATTTTAAACAAATCTTGACATTTCTTAGTTTAAAGAGTGGAATTCCTTGCCTGTGACCTAGAAGTCTGTGTTTCTAGAATGATACAGCCTAGATGTCGTCAAATCTCCAAAGAATATGTCGCTCAGAGATAGGCGTGCTCCATAGTCGGCTACAATATCACTTACCACCAGGCGAGATAGTGGTTAAACGCAATATGTATATGCTGCTGAGGTTCCTCATCCTATTTAAAACCTTAACTCCTATAGACCCAAAGCTCATTTTCCAAATCCTTACTTCCAGTGCCCGGTGTTCCTCATTCAATTTAGAGCCTTAAAATTATAAAAACAAAAGTTACTTTCGAGACACTTACTTCCAGTACTATAAGAAGACTGTGCTATGGGTAGTCCATCCTTAGTCCACGTGTATGTGATGCTGCTAGGGTTACCATCAGCTCGGAGTACTATGATCAGAGGCTCGTTCTCAACTCCTACTGTTGTGTAAGGAGTCGTCTCGTCGAAGATTGGCGCATCTGTATAAAGGGTTTTGTTTAATTTCGAGTTCTAAATTGGAGGTGTTACGGTTGAATTTTGAGTGTGCTGTTTTTGTCATGAAAAATAATTAGATTGTATTTGAATGAGATTTAACTGTTGAATTACAACGAATTAATAACACTGATAGATCATGTCTAACAAATACATAAAATACAAAACCTATAAAACTGCGCAGTAGTAGCCAGGAATTAACTTAAAAATAAAATTGTATATCGTCCCCGTAGAGCGAAAATTAACTAAGTCCAAAAATTACCAAAATGAGTTATCACTATCATTAAAATGAACTTTTATTTCTCTATAAATCAGTCTAACCGGTATTTATGTAGCTGCCGTCGTTTTTGTTTTACGGAATGTGAAAAATAAATAAGTATATGTTTTGGATTCCACATCATAATTGGAGAAATAACTAACTTAATTAATTAATTATACATTTACGAAAAAATTGCATAACTTAAAATTAAGTCCACTTAATTATTTTCCTATTCAATTGTGAATGCATCCACTTGTCAATAGTTAAACATAACAAAAACATTTTCTTGCGTTATAGCTTTTATAATATTAACTTTACTCTTTTTCCTTCAAATAGAAACTAAAAACATGACGATCGGCAATGGCTAGCTAAAGTTATAACGAATCTAATTTTTTAAAACTTTAAACTTCATTTTCTCGAAACGTGATTTTTCGACTTGATGACTTTTCGCTCTACGGGGACGATATATTGAAAAATTATAACAAAAGTCTTACATAAAACTTTAAGCGGCAGTGCATCGTGGACGCTCCTCTGCAGAGCCTCGTTCATAGCCTGGCAGGTGTAGACTGCTCCGTTCAGGTCCTTGGTGATGGTCAGCTTCAGCTCGATTGTGGACACTGTGCCACCGTGGAGACCCTTCTTTTGTTGCATGGGTAGACCTGAGAGAAAGGTACAGGTTTAATATTGTTGTAAATAAAGATGATATTTTTAAGAAGATATTTTTAAGTTAGGTGACAAACAAGAAGTTCTTCATGAATCTCTGCAAAAGTAGTAGGTAGACAGAGGTGCACATTATGCCACTGTACAATGTAACACCCGCTTTTTACTATTTATGTTATGAGTCCCATGTAATGGGGGGTGAGCCTATTGCCATATATCGGGCACAATTCCAGACTCCGTGCTACTACTGAGAATTTTTTAAAACCCAGTAATACTTTGCTCGACCCGGGAATTGGACCCGAGACCCCTTGCCCGGCAGTCGCACTTGCGACCACTTGGCCAACGAGGCAGTCTTTTTAAATAACTAAATAAAAATACATCAATAGTCTTTCTATTTAACTGATCAATGCTTGCTAGAGATAATTATACATATAAATTAATGTAGTACGTAATTTAATACGCATAAAAATTATGAAAAGATAATGCTATCTGAAAATCTATACTAATGTTGATTTTTTAACTGACTTCTTTTAAACAAGTTAATCAGTATTAGGGACAGTTATATATCATTAAATATCGAGTATAACACGTCAATTTACTAAACAAAGATCAAAATTAAATAGATACAAGACCAAGTTACCCTCTAACAATGACAATACTAGCACAAACTGCAACAATAACACATAGACGACTTACTAACCAGCCGCCATGTTGCACAATCGATTTGCCACGCACGACTAAATCACCTACGTGTATAGACATGAGATTTACATGCAAAACAGCGAGCAAAGCCTGTAGTATTGGTCTGTTAAATTGTCAATGAAGATATGTTTGGCGCATGAGAGGAGCCACAATGATTTCTCATGATTTTATGCTAAAGAGCTTGCGTTTGGTTGGAACTGGGACTGTTGTTTGTTGGTGATTTGGTTAATTGCTGAGATCACTTTGACGTTATTCGTGTTAATTATATCATCTTAAGATACGTATATAAATACAAAACCTCACACCTTTCTCCCATGGGCGTAGGCAGACTATGGAACGCCAATTACTACGATTCCTACATACCTCTTTCGCTTCAATAACAGTCATAAGTATTTTCATGCATGCTCGTCGGTTAAGGGTACTTTTAATTTGACCTTTCTTTAATATAAAGATACAGGCAGTAATATTTTGTAATACACTTGATATTCGCCAGTAATTTAAAATTTAATGGCTTACCCAATTTATATCGTAATATCACCTGATGGTGATTGTATAAATCACTTTATAAATTAAAGTTACTGAATATATATTTTTTTATGGGATAAGTCGGTAAAAAAGCCGACGGTTCACCTGATGGTAAGCAATCGGCGTCGCCCATTGCCACCTGGAACACTAGAGGCGTTACAAGTGTATTAACGGCCTTTTGGGATTAAGAATTTGAGGATTGTTGGATTCGGGGATTGGGAAAGGAAGGGGATGGGTAATTGGGCCTCCTATTATAAAATATTTTATATCTTTAATTTGACTCACCCTGTACAGGTATCCCATCTCGCCACCACGACAGTGTGGCGGGAGGGTTACTGCTGGCAGCGTCACAGGATAATGTGGCTTCGATTCCCACCTTCAGCTCTTCAGGCGACACACGAACTTTTACAGCTTCAGGAGCAACTGGTTACAAAAATAGAAATTAATTGATATAGTTCTAATATTGTTGTAAATAAAGATATGTTTTTAAATTAGGGGACAAACTAGAAGTTCTTCATGAATGTTTGCAAAACTACTTCAATAATATAACATCACGCCTTTTATCACCGAAGGGGTAGGCAGAGGTGCACATTATGCCATTGTACAATGTACATCCACTTTTCACTATTTATGTTATAAGTCCCATGTAATAGGGGGTGAGCCGTGCTACTACTGAGACTTTAAAAATAAACCCAGTAATACTTTGCCCGACCCGGGAATCGAACCCGAGACCCCTTCCACAGCAGTCGCACTTGAGACAACTGTGCAAATGAGACAAATTAGGAAACATTTATCCAATTAACTACTATACATATAGGAATTGAGACACCACTTACACAGTTCAAATAACATACTAAATGACTATGTTTATGTTAGAACAAGTCTGTGCCTAACTCAGCTGTACCTAGATTCGTGTCTAGACCAAACTGAGACCTAAGTCAACATTGCTAGGACTTCTATCCAGTACTTAGCAATTAAGACGTTTCGAGAATTTCCCTCTTAAGTACTATTATTATTATTTTATAAGTTCCTTTGATTTATAGTTTTTGAGTGAAATTGAGGGATGTAATAATAGTTTTTGTTTTGGTTGGAATTATGTATGGTTTTCATTTTAAATTCCTCGTGTTGGACTAGTTAGCAGAGTAGACTGCCTCGTTGGCCGAGTGGTCGCAAGTGCGACTGCCGGGCAAGGGGTCACGGGTTCGATTCCGGGGTCGGGCAAATTATAACTGGGATTTTAAAAAATGCTTAGTAGTAGCACGAAGTCTGGAATTGTGCCCGGTATATGGCAATAGGCTCACATAGGGGGTGAGCCTATTTTTTTTTATTACATGGGACTCATAGCATAAATAGTGAAAAGTGGGTGTTACATTGTACAGTGGTATAATGTGCACCTCTGCCTACCCCTTCTGGGATAAAAGGCGTGATGTTATGTTATGTTGGACTAGTTAATTTTAGGTAGATTTTCTAAATAATTCCAGATTTCAATTAATTTATACATGTTTTGCCTTTTGGGCTAGGATAAGATGTACATACCGCTCACAAAATTGCTTACACGGTATTGCTCCTGCAATTTTTTTCCAACAAAAAACCCCCAAACAGTTCTTTGTCTGACCCGGGCATCGAACCAGATACCTCTTGCACTGCCATTGCACTTGCTTAACCGTTTGAGTACAGTCATTATATTCACAATTAAAGAACAATAGGTTGCGGTCACCGGTGACCGCGTGGTGTTTGACAGTTTAAACCTTAGCCACTTTATCAACTGGGCAAACATTCATACATTTCGGACCCTAACATAAAAAAAAATAATATAATATACTCACAATACACATTAAGCGTTACAGTTTCAAACAGTGGTATCTCAGTGGCACTGTTGGTGGCCTCACAGCGGTACTGAGCCTGGTTGTCAGTCACATTCGTCAGGATTGAGATCTCAGCCGACACTGAGCGCTCCACCGTCTTCGTTACTGAATGTATCTGGAATAGAAGGGGTGGGTTAGTCAAAGTGGAATTTTGTGTTTTTAGATAACTACCTAAGTGATATGGAAAAGGCAAAAGCCGATTGCTGGGTAAAATCATATTCCTGTAAACACTTAAAAAATTACTAATATATTTTTATGTAGGTATTTGATGGGCCGACGTTTGACCACTATCTAGCCTGGTGGTAGGCTATGATGCGGTCTACGATGGAGCACGTCGTCCCATAAGCAACCTATTCACTAGATTGACTTTTTCAGTCGATCTTGTGATAATTTGATCAAGAAGATAGTTGCATTTGAATAAAAATATACTAGAAAATGGTATATTATTTTAGCAATTTGAGAATTGAACAGGGCTTCATGTTTTATGATTAGTTTTGCCCATGACTTGTTCTTACTTGATTATTTATGTCTTAACTTCAAATCGATTGTAATTATGTAAGTTCCTAATTCATTGAAATATTTTTTTTATCTAGAAGTAGAAATCACTTCAAGTCGATAGTTTAATGCTGATTATTTGATCATTACCTTTTTATCATTCTTAAACCACGTAAGTGTAGCCAGTGGATTGCCTCCCGAAGATATGCAGGACAGCCTCTGCACGGTACCAGCCGAGAGGGTGGTGCCAGGTACGTAGCCCGTGATCATTGGAGCTGTTGGTGGGTCTGAAACAATAGAGAAGAAGTTAAGGATTACCCATCGTTTTCTATACCTTAGGTAATACGTCTTGCTTAACTTTGGTCAACTTTTAAGACAGTTATTGTTGTTGTTGTGTTTATATATATCAACATATCATATAATACAACAATGTATGCTAGATATGTGATTAGACTTATACATTAAAATGTATTATTACGAATGCGAGGTCCTAAGTAAAAACAGAGTGTCAAGCATGTATCTCATCTTCACAACGCATACAACCAATGGTGAAATGACGCCATAATATTCTAATTACAAAATTTTCTCATTACATAAGCCCCAATTTTTCTTAAACTACATCAAAAACCGGAGTATGGTAAACGGCAATGTCGAAAATTAACCTTCAGTTTACTCCATTACCCACAATTAATTCGTTCCCTTCTAAATTACACCAATTAGAGACTTAAACCTTACGGTTGAGTGGTCACCCATCAAAATACAGACCTCGTTTGTTTTACTTAACCTCGATCGAGAATACAATTTAAAGGAGATCTCTTTCGTGGCCGCTTCGTCATTCCTCTGGCTAATTTATGTAGTTCATTATCATTAATTGTCGAGTTAAAATGACAAGCTTTTGGCTGGAGGTTGTAGCTACATAGCTTGTGATTTTGTCATCCTACTCTTGTAATATTTTACACGATTTATTTATTAACAAAGTATTTTTATTAAAATTGAACTTACTAATATTATAAATGCGACAAAGAGTGTTTGTTTATTTTTCTTTTACGTCACAGTAACGAAACGTGTTTATGATACGATTTTTCAGTTATTAGATAATTAGGATATATTGGAAATTGATATATTTTTTGTCCTTTTCAAGCTCGGCTAATTCTGTGCAACACAATAATAGCATTGCCGGTCTCTTGTCTTCATACCCATTATTGCAGTCCTAGAATTCAGCTCCAAATCCTTACTAATATTATAAATCGGAAAGTGAGTATGTTTGTTTGTTTGTTCCGCTTTCACGCCGTTACTACTAAACCGATTGCTTTGAATTTTTGCAGACGTAAAGTTAGAAGTCCGTATTAAATTATAGGGTACTTTTTATCCCGGAAAATTTTGATATTCCCGAGGGAAAACAAAAGTATTGGTATAGATGGCGCTGGATGTATTGTTATAATGTCACATAGGCTACTTTATATCCTTTTGTGACGTGAACGAAGCCGCGGGTAAAAGCTAGTCTAATAATAAAGGGTTCGAATCACTAAAAATATAGGTCACGACCTTGAGACATTGACATTGAATGACACGATTGAAAATTCTCATATTTCAACAACAACTCAAGATCAACCCTAACAATTATAAATTATAAGGAGGGTCTAGTCACGGAGTGGTGATTAAAATAATGGGTACATCCCTAGTTTAGGGTTGTCACTAATTGGATCTCATGTACGTGTTGGTGTTACAGTGTAATTACACGACGAGCCTGTACACTGTATTAGTTTAGGAAAATGCCAACGTTTCCGTGTTTAAAATGGTGTATAATATCAAGATTAAAATTGAAGCCGAAAATAATTGTTTGTGGTCAAAATTTCGTGTGGTGTTTTAACTTACATCAAGGGAAAAATATATCAAAATTGGTTTCGAGCTGTTTATGTGTCCATATGTAACTTTCAGTGACAAAGGACGTGACTTACTTAAACTCAAATTTTCTCGACAAATATTCTGAACCCATGGATCCATTTGAGATCTTTACATATTAAAATGAGATTTGGTACCTCATAAACATTTCAAAAACAAAACAACATCTGCTTTTGACTGACCTACTAACCCACAAAAACCAACTTAAAGCACTTCAAAAAGCATCCGGACCTCACAAAATTATGCAAAAATTCCCCTTTAATTCCGAATTCAAAGAACAAAAACTCTTGAAAGTGAACCAGAAAGTCAGTAGAAGCATAACTAGGGAAATAAGTAGAGATTTATCCAATAAATAACCGCTCACAGTATCAGATAACGGTTACAGTGTTATTCCTGTCACGTGCTGGTAGCAATCAGGATTCATGCGACAACCCTACTCGAATATACGGGATGATAACTGGGGACGGAACGTCGCAGGTGACTCTTTTATTTAGTCATGTGGTTTCATCTAAGTAGAAATAGTTATAGTGAACGCAGTTTTCGTGAGTTCTAAGAGACGACTAATGACTGATCTTTATTTGAAATTCTGGATCAATTTAAGTTTTTGATAGACATTTCATAAAGTGAATGTCAAATATTGGTTATTAATTGTAATACATAATTATGCACGGACTGTTCATGTTTGGTTTTGTATTTTATTGAGAAGTTCTATGTGTATTATTTTCTGCTTCATGATAATATTTATAACGAGTTACTACTGGAATTATTTTTACATATATAAACAGGTTGCTTTTAATGAATACATTTCATTTTTCAGCTATAATCACAAAAGAGATAAGCGGGCTATATTTTAATATTCCCTTTGAGGAATAAAAAAATATTAATTGTTCATAATATTGTGTATGCCATTCTGAAAAGAAAATCTGGTGCTGTGATTCATGATAATAGTGCTACGGTTTATGGAAATCGTATTTACTTTAAATGTGACATTGATATTTATTTCTATTTCAATATAGGATAAAAAAAGTTAATTCTAATTTAACTTATACAACATTAACATTAAAAAAACACGATATTCTTAAAAAATTTGTTCACTAAGCGACAATAAAATCAAAACGCTGCGTTACCTACCAAAATTCGTTCCCGTATGTTCACCTGCTTAGAAAAACTCGCGTTTCTAATTTGCGAGGGCCTCGTAAGCTGTTTTACGATACTCTATATTAACAAGAAAGCTGTCAGCTGAATACAGGTGCCTTTGACTAGCTGACATTCGAGAAAATTCGAAGAAAAAAAGATTTTTTGACAAAGATAATAGATTCTGAGACGTTTTTAATGAGAACTTAAATAGCGTGTGTTTGATAGATATGATCGTGATTGCTTTTTGAATGAAATGGAATAGTAAATTATCTGATTGCTACTTATTTTACATTTTAAATATCATTATTATGTTTTCTTTTTAAGATGAAATCGAGATGACGTCTACCGTTTTCTATTAACTTTTAAAGTGTTAAAATAAACACGTTTTTTAAGTTAAGTAACTGTATAATGACTGTTTTGATTTACACTTTAAAGTTAAAAAAAAATCTGTAATTAGGTATTAGGTAAATAGTACTCGATGAAATAGTATGCCTCTCATAACATAAAACGCCTTTTATCCCCGGAGGGGTAGGCAGAGGTGCACATTAAACTGTCTAACACCAAGCGGTCACCGGTGACCGCAACCTATTGTTGTTTAATTGTGTCTATAATGACGGTGCTCGACGAGTTAAGGCACTTAATGCCACTGTACAATGTAACACCCACTTTTCACTATTTATGTTATGTGTGCCATGTAATAGGGGGTGAGTCAATTGCCAGATGCCGAGCACATTTCCAGACTCCGTGCTACTACTGAGGTGTTTACAAACACAGTAATACTTTGCCCGACCCGGGAATCGAACCCGAGACCTCTTGCCCACAAATCACACTTGCAAGCACTCGGCCTATGAGGCAGTCATAACATAACTGTCAAAATATTAATGTAATTGCCTGTACACAATATTTAAAAAAAACACTACATTGTAGATAAATCCAAAGATATTTCTACAAAAACAAGTTTAAACAAGTTTCCTAGTGTTCAACGTAAACTAACTACTCGATAACGGTTCGCAATGCGCAAGAAATCACATAAGATATGTTAGTAACTACATTCCTTTGAGGTTGATGTTTTTACATACATACATACGAACATACATGATAAATATTATGTAGGTATGTCATTTGAGGAAGTGAGATTGTGAGTGAGCGCGATTGCAATTTGATGTTTGTGAGATCGTTAGGTGTTGTAAATTGATACTTTATGATGCTTTACATAGGTATCATTAGAATAAGTACTGTAACAATAACATAACATAACATCATGCATTTTATTATATTAAGGGGTAGGCAGAGGTGTAGGCATTGTGGCACTTAATGCAACTGTACAATGTAACGCCCACTTTTCACTATTTATGTTATGAGTCCCACGTAATAGGCTCACGCCTATTGCCATATACCGGACACAATTCCAGACTCCGTGCTACTACGGAGATTTTTATAAAAACCCAGTAATACTTTGCCCGACCCGGGAATCAAACCCGAGACCCCGGCAGTCGGACTTGCGACCGTTCGGCCAACAAGGCACACAATATCACAACAGACAATTTACAAATAACCGAAAAAACCTACAAAATAAGCAAATAACGACAATTGTACTTTCCAAAATCTATATAATATCAACACACTATACAATCATCTATCATTTACAAAAAAAGCATTTATCTAAGTCCATCCCATAAAAAAAAACAAAAAATAAAACCGTTTTTCCTATAACAAAGCCTATTCTAAGCAAACCGTCTTCGCTACTTCAATCGGGCATCAAACGCGTTACCCTGTCATGTCACGGCGGCCATTAATCATTGTGCTAACAGGATTATCCCTTCAGTATCAGATTATACCAAGAAATAGATAAAATATTAAATTTGTTTTGATGAAATTATGTATCTATAAATGTTATGTTTCATGATTGTATAAACAGTCGTTAACAAGTGCTACTGGCATGTCTGGTTCGATTACCAGGTCATGCAATTTTTTTTAGAAAAAATGCTCTTTTGTAGTGTAGCATCTGAAATTGTGTCAGCCGTGAGTTCACTCGAGTTACATAGGCTTCAACTCTAGAACCACTGATTTGATTTGAGTTTTTTTTTTGTGTTGGATAGTTCATTTATTGAGATAGGCTACAAAACACCACGCTACGGCCAATAGGAGCGGGTGAAGCTGCGCGGGTATACCTAGTGACATAAAATTGACGAAAAGTGGATTCACATTCTATATGTTATGTAGTTGCTCTTGCCTCGTTGGCCGAGTG